TAGTTTTATTAGCATTCTCAGCAGAATCTCATAGAGGACCAGGTAATCTACTGGTTGGTGGACTCACACAAACTAACAATTGGTATCAGAGCGGGTTCCTCCTATCAGGCTAACACCTAGGAAGGATCCTCATGGCTGCTCCACCAAATTTTGAAGAAGGTCAATCTACATACCGACTACCTAGGTTCAATGGACAATACTATGGGTGGTGGAAAACAAGAATGCATGATTTTATCATGGCTGAGGATTCTGAGTTATGAGATATCATATGCGATGGTCCTTATGTTCCAACCAAGGTACCGGAAGAACTTCCATTCTCAATGGCAAAAACCAGTAAAGAGTACACTAAAGCAGACAAGAAAGCTGTGGAGAAGAATTTTCATGCCAAGAAAATTCTAGTACGTGGAATAGGACAAGAAGAGTACAATAGAATCTCCACCCGCGACACTGCCAAAGAGATATGGGAAGCTTTGCAAACAGCTCATGAGGGAACACACAAGTAAAACAGTCTAAGATTGATATGCTCACTACCGAGTATGAACTCTTCAAAATGAGGGATGATGAATCCATTCAAGATATGGACACAAGATTCACTTCCATCATAAATGAGTTACACTCGCTTGGTGAAACTATTCCTAGAAACAAGCTAGTTAGGAAATTCCTCAGTATTCTGCCTAGCCCTTGGGAAAGCAAAGTGAATGCTATTACTGAATCAAAGGACTTACAGAAGCTGACCATAGAAGAGCTTATCGCAAATTTGAAGACCTACGAGTTAAAGAAAAAGATAGACAGTGAAAGAAGAGAACCAAAGAAGGAAAAGAACCTGGTACTTAAAGCTGATAACAATGATTCAAGTGAGGAAGACAGTGACATGGCTTACTTAACCAAAAGGTTGCAGAAGATGGTCAGAAGAAATGGAGAAATGCTAAAAAGGGACAGCTCTAACAGATCAAAGAACTATGATCTTTGTTACAAGTGTGGAAAGCCTGGACACTTCATGAAAGACTGTCCTCTCTTGAAGCAAGAATTCTCCAAGAACTACCATAAGAAAACAGCTAAGACGAACCTGGTTCCTTTCAAGGACTTCAAGAGAAAAAGATCCGCTGACATGATGAGACAGGCTCTTGCAGCAGCATGGGGGGGATTCCTCTAGTGAGAAAGAAGATGAACCTGATACTGGTGATAGTTCCATGATGGCAGTTGAAGGCGAGGAGATTGAATATAACTCAACTTTTGCTTTGATGGCTCAATCAGATGATGATGAAGACGATGACAACAAATAGGGAACGGTGAAAGGAAGTGGTCAACAATGGTTCATGGATAGTGGGTGTTTAAAGCACATGACTGGGAACACCATGGACTTTCTTTCACTAAAAGCCCTGCAAGGAGGGAGTGTATCCTTTGGCAATGGAAAAAAGGGTTACATTCTTGGAGTTGGAAAAGTCGGGAAGTCACTCACTCATTCTATTGAAAATGTGTACTATGTCAATGGCCTTAAGTACAGTCTCTTGAGTGTCTCTCAAATCTGTGATAAAGGAAACAAGGTGGAATTCTTGTCCAAAATATGTACAGCCACTGATCTTGTGACTGGTGAAGTAGTACTTGTGGCCAAAAGATACAAGAACATCTATGTTGCTGATTTGGAGTCCTTATAGAGTGGTGATCTGAGCTGTCTGAAAGCGGTTGATGATGATGCTGAACTATGGCACAAAAGACTGGGCCACACAAGTTTCTCTCTTCTGAACAAACTAATTCAGAAGGACCTGGTCCATGGTCTGCCTATGTCAAAATTCAAGATGCAAAAGGTCTGTGATGCCTGTGTTGGAGGAAAACATGTGAAATCCTCCTTTAAGTCTAAAAGAGATGTGAGCACCTCAAAACCACTAGAGCTTCTGCATGTGGATCTATGTGGACCTATGAGAGTGCAAAGTAGAAGAGAAAAAAGATACATTTTTGTGATAGTGGATGACTACTCCAGATTCACATGGACTCTGTTTCTCAGAACCAAAGATGAAACTGTTGAGGTGTTTGTGGCTTTTGTGAAGAAAATCTAGGTGAAGATGGAGTCTAGGGTCGCATGCATTAGATCAGATCATGGGACAGAATTCGACAATGTCAAATTTGATAAATTCTGCAATAAAAATGGCATCACTCACAACTTCTCAGCTCCCAGAACTCCCCAGCAAAATGGAGTAGTAGAAAGGAAGAACAAAACTCTGGAAGAGATGGCAAGAACAATGCTGATCGATAGTTGAATTGCAAAGAACTTCTGGGCTGAAGCTGTCAACACTACCTGGTACTTGGTGAACAGGTGCATGATCAGATCACTTCTGAACAAAAACCCCTATGAATTGTTAAATGGAAGGAAACCCAAGCTGACTCACCTAAGAATATTTGGGTGCAAATGCTATGTTCTCAATAATGGAAATGATCATCTTGGTAAATTCGATGTCAAGAGTGATGAAGGAATATTTCTGGGCTACTCTTCTCAAAGCAAGGCTTAAAAGATATATAATAAGCGGACTCAATGTGTTGAGGAAAATGTTCATGTTATTTTTGATGAGTCTCATCCTTCCTGTGAGAAGAGTGCTGAGGAAGATCAAGATGGAGAACCTTTACTAGTCCTTGGTGAAGTCATTAACATGACAAACGGAAAGGCAGATATGATGAGTCAAGTAAAGGAGCTAAATAAAGACAATACCGTCTCATCTTCAACAGAACCAAGCACTTCAATTACAACCACTGAAGCTGAAGAAAGAGTGGTTGATGCAGTTCAGGGAACTCCACTAGCACTTGAGAGAGGAACAGAGGAAAACCAGCCAAACATACCCTCTTCCTCTCAGAAGGAACCTCAGACGTCTAACTGGAGACACCAAAGCTCTCATCCGATGGACAACATTATTACTCCTCTAGATTCTGGAGTACAAACCAGATCAAGAGCCAGAAATTCACTTGCCTTCTCAGCTTTGCTCTCCCAGATAGAACCCAAGAATATCAAGGAAGTCTTGAAAGATGCAGATTGGATTACAGCCATGCAAGACGAGCTACATCAGTTTGAGAGAAACAATGTGGGGCACCTGGTACCTAGACCCTCAGATCGAACCATTATAGGAACCGGGTGGGTATTCAGAAACAAGCTCGATGAACATGGAATTACCACAAGAAACAAGGCCAGGCTAGTGGTCCAAGGCTACAATCAGGAAGAAGGGATTAACTATGATGAAACGTTTGCTCCAGTAGCTCGCATAGAAGCTATTAGAATTCTAATCGCTTTTGCATCTCCTATGGAATTCACCTTGTTCCAAATGGATGTCAAGAGTGCATTTTTGAATGGACTCCTTATGGAAGAAGTCTATGTGAAGCAACCTCCAGGGTTTGAATGTCATGAGCACCCTGAATATGTTTTCAAACTGGACAAAGCCTTGTACGGGCTAAAGCAAGCTCCTCGAGCTTGGTATGAAAGGCTGTTAAAGTTCCTCTTGAAAATGGCTTTAAAAGAGGGAAAATTGACAACACTCTCTTCTTAAAGAAACGGGGAAGGAATCTGCTCATTGTTCAGGTCTATATTGATGATATCATCTTTGGAGCAACAGCTGATTCTCTGTGTGAAGAATTTGCAAAACTCATGGGAAGTGAATTTGAAATGAGCATGATGGGGGAACTGAACTTCTTCTTGGGTCTTCAAGTAAAACAGTCCCAAACGGGTATATCCATCTGTCAGCAAAAATACATCAGGGAGCTTTTGAAGAGGTTTGACATGGAAGCATCAAAGGTGATAGACACTCCCATTGCTACTGCCACTCGACTGGATATGGATGAAACTAGATCTCCTGTGAATCAAACCATGTATAGAGGCATTATTGGGTCTCTCCTCTATCTCACTGCCAGCATACCTGATATTGTTTTTAGTTGGGGTTATGTGCAAGGTTTCAATCAAATCCCAAGGAATCTCACTTGAAGGCTGCCAAAAGAATACTGAGATACCTCAAAGGAACACAGGACCTGGTTCTATATTATCCCTCAGGTGACAGCTTTAATCTCATTGGTTATGCTGACGCAGATTATGCAGGTTATCTTGTGGATAGGAAAAGAACTTATAGAATGGCTCACTTCTTAGGTTCGTGTCTTATCTCTTGGGGCACAAGGAAGCAAAATTCAGTGGCTCTTTCAACAGCTGAAGCAGAATATGTAGCCGCAACATCCTGTTATGCTCAACTGTTATGGATCAAGCAACAACTGGAGGACTTTGGGGTACTTACTGAGAGTGTGCCCCTTCTATGTGACAACACCAGTGCACTCAACATGGCCAAGAATCTAGTTCAACTCAAAAGGACAAAGTATATTGATGTGAGGCATCACTTTCTAAGGGACAATGTGGAGAAAGGACTGATATGTATAAAGTTCTACAGCACAGAAGATCAAATTGCAGACATTTTCACCAAGGCTTTAAGTAGGGAACAGTTTGAAAGAAACAGAATGAAGTTGGGGCTTTTAAAGCCCAATTGAGCACCCGATTCCTATTTATCTAGCTATGAAAATCACCTTCAAGAAATAACTGGCTAAAAGTGTTTTCTGGCCATGTCTAACTAAATTTAATACTGTTGCAGGTAAATACGCATGATGAGTATAGAAGCAATAGATGCAGTGCATGAATGATAAAAGAGGATTGATTCTTTCAAATAAAAGGTTGAGAACTTGGTTCTTGTACCAAAGGTTAGTAGTTCTGTGCATCCTTTAATACACGTCTTAAAAAGGTTACAAAACCCAACTGCCATGTCATTCAATTTTTCAGATCCTGTTGTCATGTCTCTTCACTTCAAATCGTTCCATCTCCCTCTGAAACATTGCATTTCTCCATGCCCAACCGTTGTTTCAGAACCGGTGCCTATTCCTCTCTTCTCATAATTATTCTCTCCTAATAAAAACCCTCTTCTGTTCTCTCTAACCATAAGTTCTTCATTAGAATTTCCCAAAAGCATCGTCACACTTTTTTAAAAAAAATGGCTGAGACAAACTCTGACCTCCCTGCCTCAGTCGTAACTATTACTGATAAAACTATGGAGACTTCCGCTCCTACTGAGCCTTCCTTACCCTCTCGTACTCCTCCCGCTGAAGTCACTCCTCACCTAGTTTTTCTGTCTCTCTCTATTTCAGAAACACCTAAAATTGTTGCTCCGTCCCCTCCATCTTCTGAGGCTCCCACCAGTCAAAGACCCAGTGGAGAACAAGGTCAAAACCCTGAGGTCATAAAGAGTTCTGCCATTGTTGCTACCGACTCCGTGGTGGCAGTAGTACCATTTGAGGAAGTTAAAAATGTTGTAACCATCTTTGTGGACTGGTGATGGGGTACTGCATGAGATTATCTCTCAGAAAAATGAGCTACAAAGTGTGGGGGACGAAGGGGCCATTATAACTGTTGAAGGGGATGCACTCGCAGATACTACTGGGCCATCACATGAGGAACCTGATCCCTCTCCGGAGGACCTAGGTCAGGGCTCTCATTCCCAGGACAGTTCTGCTCCTGCATTCGCTGTTGTGTCCTTGAAAATACAAGTACCTGAAATGAGGTCCAGTGATGAGGAGGACCTAGATAATGTGGCTCTTGATGCGTTCATAGTTAAGCGGAGAGTTGTGTCCACTCCTGAGTCTGAAACCAAACGACCTACTACCAGGCTTCAAGCTAAGGTGGCCTACGATTTTGCTCTTCAAAAGAGCAAGAAAAGTAGTAAGAAGAAAAGGAGAAAGTTGGTGAAAAATAGTGTACCTGTAAGTGATGAGGCAATCCCTGTAGTAGAGGTGGATGAGGAAACCCCAGATGAACCTGGTTCACTAGTTAGACGGTCTTCCAAAAAGAAGAAGCCTGTTTCAACAGAGAAGGGGTCAACCTCTAGGTCCAAGATGAAGGAGGTGGTGAGTGAGTTCTCGATGTCTGATGAGGATGTGTTAGTCAAATTCAAGGAAGAAGGAAAAGTAAGTGGTGAGAAGTCCGGCAACCTGGTTCTGTGAAGAGAATGAGAAGTGAAGTCAGCCTTGGCTCTGAACGTCTGAGACATCAAAAAGTTTTGCTGGGTCGTACATTTGACCCAACAATCTCTGAGATGGCTGGTATGCGCCAAATTCTGGAAATGGTCGAGTTTCAACGCTGGGCGCACTTATTCCAAATGGATGCACCTAAGGTATATGAGGATGAGGTACAAAGCTTCTTTGCTAGCCTCTTTCCCATTGAAACAGACCACATTTGTGCTTTGGTCAATGGAGTGGACATCGTCTTCGATGTAAAGTTGCTTGGAGAGATTCTTAAAGTTCCTACAGCTGGTGTGTCCAGTTTAAGGGATGTGTGTCAGTTTAACTTCAGAAATGTCGTGGTAAAAGACAATGCAAACCAGAAAGGGGACCAAATCCATAAGAAAGCGCTACTTCCTGTGTATCAGCTGCTGTTTGAATTGGTTAACAAAGTTTTATTGCATCGAGCTGAGAGGAGGTCAGTGACTTCTAAGTCTGACCTGTTCTTGATGGAGCAACTGGACAGCTTTACCCCTGTGAGTCTGCCTGCTATCATGATTGAACACATGCAAAAGGTTGCCACCTTCAAGGATGGTAATCATGGCCTTCCCTACGGGTTCCTGCTTACTCAAGTGTTTAAATTCTTTGAGGTACCACTGGGGACAGGCAAGGTGGGGACTAAGAAGCAGACTTTCTCACAGACAACTTTGGAAGAATGCGAGTGCATAGAAAAGAATGGGGCGGTAGGAAGTACATCAACCGTCTCAAAGCTTATTAATGCTCAGAACAGTGCAGCTGAGGAAATTCGTCGGTTGAAGGCCAGGAATGCTATCCTGGAAGGTCAGCAAACCCAAGGGGTTCCGGTGTCAAATGATGAAGTAGCTCGTTTGACAAAGGAGAATGCTAATCTCAGGGCACAAGTAGAGAACCTGAAAGCAGAACTGCTCAATGAGCAGAAGTCGGGAAATTCCCGAATAGATCTTGTTCTCCAAACACTTGCTGCAGCTACCAAGCCTTTTACTCCTAGTGCCCCCTAAGTACCCCTCCAGTGACGAGTTTCTGGAAATGTTCTTTAAGTTTTCTTTGTTGTTTTGGCAGTTGTTTTTTGTTTTCTTTTTATGCGGTTGGGATGGAACATTACTGCTCCCGTTTTAACAAGTCCAATGTTGCCTTTTGCTTTTTACGCAAAGGCATATTAAAGTTTTATTAATATCAATTCTATCCTCTTTTATTATATCTGTGCTTTACCTCTGTGTTTCTATTCTCTATCATGTTTGTGTGCACATATGTGGCATGAGTTAGCATAGCTGGACTTTTTTGTGCTGATTCTTCTGTTTGTGTTTTTTTTAATGATGCCAAAAGGGGGAAACTAAACTCAGGGGGAACACATGTGTGCGAAAGGGCATAGAGTCAGGGGGAACTTGTGTTCTCCTGTTACTTAATCTGGTTCTCTGAGCTCTCTAAATCCTCATTTTCAATATTAAGGGCATAGAGTCAGGGGGAACTTGTGTTCTCCTGTTACTCAGTCTGGTTCTCTGAGCTCTCTAAATCCTCATTTTTAATATTAAGTTTGTCATCATCAAAAAGGAGGAAATTGATAGGTTTTCAATATCTTTGCCTGGTGTTTTGATGATCTAACAAACTTAATGTCAAGAACCAGATAAGGAACCTGACTCACTTGGACTACACCGCATTTAACGGATTCCAGCTATATGTGAACTGCTACAGCTTCAGGAGCTAGGAAACTATACAAGGACCTGCTACCCTTGTGGTTCCCTCATAGCAGTACAAAGTCAGTTGGACATAGCTGGAAACGAAGTGACTGCCTGCACTATTTCTGCCGCACTGCACTGTTTCCAGCGCCCACTCATTCCTGACAAACTAAAGTGCTCACATCATTTCAAGTGATGTAATTAAGGTGTACCAACATGAGTTTATATTTCAACATCACTTGAAGGTTTCAGTTTCTCATTCAAGCTTCTTGCCAAAACAGAGAAATCAGTCCTCACGAGCTTGAAGAACAAAGTTGAACGCAACTACGGACCAGTTCCTAAAGTTAGCATGTTGTTGTCCTAGTTGAGTTGTAACTTTGTGATTGTACTTATTGTATCTCCTAAATTGCTTAGCTAGAAGCGTTGATTAGGAATCCTTTTGTAAATCCGTAAACTCCTTGAGTTTACGTTGTGGCTAGGTTTAGTCATAAGCAAAAGCCTTTGTAACTGTAGAGTGACAAAGTGGCTTGTGGCGAGAGCATCACAAGTTAGTAAAACTCTTTGTAACTAGGGAGTCACAAAGTGGCTTGTGGTAAGAGTACCACAAGTTAGTTGAGTAAATCCTTTGTAATGGAGTCATTACAAAGTGGCTTGTAATCGATTTTTACATGTTAGTGAAGTTAAAAGCCTACAGGTGTAGGTCGTGGTTTTTTGATCCCCTTGTGTGGGATTTTTCCACGTAAAAATCCTCTACCTCATTTACGTACAGTTTTATTAGCATTCTCAGCAGAATCTCGTAGAGGACCAGGTAATCTACTAGTAGGTGGACTCACACAAACTAACATACTCTATAAGGACCCCATGCATCACCATGTACTAGCTGAAAGGGCTTATTTGAACTAGTAGTCCTGATAGGAAATGAAAGTCTAGACTGTTTCCCTAGTGGACATACAGGACAGTGATGATTTTTGTCTAGTTTGCAATGCTTCAAAAACTTTATTTTTCTGAGCATATCTAAAGGAGCATGCCCTAGTCTATTATGCCATACAGATAGTGGGACATTAGTAGACACAGAGTATCACTCTTCTTTACTGTCAGACCCTTGTAGTTGTGGTTGAGTAAGTGGTGTTGTAGAAGTTGGAGATGACTTCAGACTGTACAATCCACAATCTTCTCTACCAATCCCCCTCACCTGCTCACTGTAGAGGTCCTGGAATAGGCAAAAATCAGGAAAAAATGCCACACAACACTTCAGTTCATTTGTCAACTTTGACACAGCCAAAAGGTTAAACTTGAAGTCAGGAATGTGCAACACATTTTGTAGATCCTGATTTCTGAGTATACTAGATGTTCCTGTATTTGATATTGACACCACATTACCATTTGGAAGATGCACATTTCCACCTTTTAAACTAGACTCCTTGTCCAATTTAGTCAACAACTTAGAATTTCCTACCATATGATTAGTAGCTCCAGTATCAATTATCCACCTATCATCAACTATACTGGATAGGAATACAAATATACCTGCTGCTGCTGGTTGAGCAGAGCTTGTTGCTTCTTCATTTACCTTACCAAGCATATGTAGGATTTGTTGATACTGTTCTGGAGTAAAGTATAATGCTGAAGGAAGTGGTGTTGCTGGGTGAGACTGAGGTTGACTCCTTTCCCCATGGTTTCCTCCACTGTTATTACCTGCAAAGTTAGCTACTGAAAATACATCATGACTTCCATTAGTAGACATTAGTATTGCTGAATCACCAGTGTTTCCTGCAAAGTTGGCTGTAGGGAATGAATTTCCTTTCTTCTTATGCTTAAAATCAGCAGGATAACCAATTAATTTGAAACAATTCTCTCTGGTATGTCCCTTGTAGTTGCATTAGTCGCAGACTAGGTTAAAATATTTCTTTGGCCTTTGCTGAAAACCACCTCTAGTAGACACAAAAGTAGTGAGGTCAGGATTCTCTACGGGAACACCTATGTGTGCAATTGCCCTCTGGCTTTCCCTCTCCATCATCATAGAGTAGGCCTTGTTAACAGAAGGAGCTGGTATCATCATGAGCAATTGACTTCTAGCTTGCTCATGAGACTCATTTATCCCCATAAGGAACTGTAGGAGTTTCAGCCTTTCCATAAATACAACAAATTCACGCGATTTCTCACAGTCACATCCAGGAATTGGGGCTAGACTATCAAATTCTGTCCACAGAAGTCTCAATTTTGAGAAATAGGAAGAGATCGAGCTAGTACCTTGATTAATCGTAGCAATGCTCTTATGGATCTGAAAAATTCTAGAGAGATCAGCCTTATCAAACCTCTCTTTTAGATTAGTCCATACCGCACTCGCATTAGAGGAGTAAACAATTCCACTAAGCAATTCAGGCGATACACAGTTCATTATCCATGACAGCACTATGGCATTGCATCTGTCCCATAGATCGACCAGATTTGGACCAAAATTTCCTCGCCTACAAGTACTGTCGATGAACCCTAACTTGTTCCGCCCTAAAATAGCAATTCTCATTGCTCGACTCCACACTGAGTAGTTTTCTGGACCTCGAAGTTGCAGCGAGATCAGGATTGCACCGGAATTGTCATTTGAGTTCAAAAACAAGGGATGATTGTGACTTAGCTTCTCAGGAGCTTCATTATCAACCTCCGCCATTGTTGAGCTTCAACTGTAGATACAGAGCTTGTGTAATTGAAGCAATTGAGCTTGAATTGAGCAACTACACCGATTTGCGATCTAGATTCGAGCAGTAGGCTCTGATACCATGTCAACTTTAACAATGTAAAAGAGAGATTGAAGAGAGGATAAGAACAGAAGAAGACTTGGAGAGAAAATTAACAGTTTCTCATTTCTTCTGCATGCTACAGCAGTGTGTAGTAGATCATATATATACACAGCTTCTAACCGACTTCACTAACTAACTAGAATTACATAAATAGCCATTGTATTAACTACCTAACCATAGCCAATGTATTAACTAACTAGCCAACTAATACACAACAGCTTATATTCTCAACAGTATGTATAGTTGATTTTAAATAACTTAGATAGTGTAAAAGGATTCGACACGATCAACCACAGGCGGACTTATATTATATATCGCCACACGGAAAGTTCGAGGAAAATTCCATATATATATATATGTATACGTTCTTAGAAAATAATAATATATTACTATTAGTATCCTATATACAACAACAACAACAACAACAACACAGTGAAATCCCACTAGTGAGGTCTGGGGAGGGTAGTGAGTACGCAGACCTTACCCCTACCCCGAA